GTCAAATATTGCATATCTTCTCTGGGCCGAGGCAGGCTGGGAGGAATGAATAATTTTCTTTGATGGACAAAGTATGGAGAATAGAAAATAAAAAAGTTGTGGAAAAAGTTGGCTTTATAATAAACGTATCCAAAACAGAAGTACTACGACTATTTTTAGAAACTACACCCATCACTCTTTATGGAGAAGTCCTTGCAGAAATAAGTTAATTCAAGTACCTTGAAAGCATTATATCTAAAACTACCAACTGCCTTAACGACGTCCATCAGAGACTTAAAAATGCTTGGATCGTTTTTGTGAAACTAAAGACTATAATATGGAAGTCAAAGATCATTTCTTTGAAGGCGAAAATAAAAAAAATATAATACAACATTTTGGCTGTATTGGCGTATGGTTCAGAGATATGGAAAACAAACAAAACAATTCGACGAAAATTAAAAAGCTTCCAAACAAATTGTCTACGAAGAATTTTACTAATAAAATGGGATAAATTTATTGCAAATAATGAAGTGTTGAAAAGAGCTGAAATTGAAGACATCAACACAACAATAAAAAAAGAGAAGATGAAAATATCTGAGACATGTTCCGAAAAGACGAGATTGTCGTATCAGACCTGGCATTTGAAACCAACCGAGAAGAGAAAGCTGGGAAGACCAACTGGAAGCTACAGAGGCACAATAATAAGAGATGAGACAATCGCCCAGGGCCTGGATGAGCTGAAATTAGAGAAAGTGGCCCGGGACAGACATGCGTGGCGTCGACTGCTCTCCGCCTTATGTACCTGAAGGTACAGGAAGAGAGTAATTAAGTAAGTAGGCCTAAGCATTAGATTTTAAGAAGGCTCCTCATCTGAAAATATAATGAAGGACCAGAATGTCAAACCTCAAAGGGAAGCATACAAGGTTTAGGAGCTTGTGAAGTTTGCGCAAAAATTTATTTCTTTGAAATTAGAATACCAATTCCCCACACGCAACTTCTTCAAAATTAACTTTGCAGACAATATTGGAGTCAATGCAATCTGTTAAAATCTGCGGGTGAGCATGTGTGTCAACCTTTGTGTGTTCGTGTGTGTGTTCGTGCGTATGTGCGTTCATAGTGCATGCGCGCCTGCGTGTGTGTGGTGGGTGGGTTCGTGTGTGTATGTATGTGAGTCTGTGCGTGTGTGTGTTTGTGTGCGTTTGTGTTTGTGTGTGTGCGTGTGTGTTTGTGTGTGTGTGTGTTTGTGTGTGTGCGTGTGTGTTTGTGTGTGTGTGTGTTTGTGTATGTATTGGTGTGTGTGTGTGTGAGTGTGTGTGTGTATGTGTGTGCGTGCGCGTGCATGTGTGTGCTTTGTGTGTGTGTGTGTGTGTGTGTGTGTGCGTATATTTGTGTGTGTGTGTGTGTATGTGTGTGTGAGTGTGTGTGTGTGTGTGTGTTTGAGTGTGAGTACACGTGTAAGTCTGTGTCTGAGTTTGGATGTGGCTTCTACAACATGAGCATAGCTACTTTACTTTTACTTTTATCCGCCGCGTATACCCTTTTGGGTGTTGCGGGAAGAAAGAGACGGCTTTCTGTCGCCAGCCGGACAGCTTGGGTCAGGGAGATGCCGTGGGTGGTTAATGTAGCATAGCTACAATACATAATAATATACTTACGTGTATTGGGGCTGAAATACACCAGCCAGAAACCGGAAGAACTGTCGTTTCTGCGAAGTGATTTGTGGAAGAAAACGATTAGTTTGGATTTGTTTCACTTTGACATCCATTTGGAGCTCTGACCCTGCCTATCTGGGCCAACCAGAGTGATAGAGCGAAAACATAGAGAATGCCGATTTCACAGACTGACTCAGTAAGTGCCGATAGGAATAAACATTCCCTTATGTTTCCAACTCGCCCCACATAGAGCTGGCAGACTGCAGGCGGCTTTAAGCACCGATCAGCGCTGTCGGCTTTATCAGAATTGAAAAACTGCGCTGTCATATCTCAATGCCGTCTCGCCGTCGCAAACTCGGGTTCTGCGGTTTGAGTGACGTCACCCGACTGGACTAGGGACAATTTTAAAAGGTCATTTCAGAGCTGGTGCTGCACGTAGACAAAAACTAATTACATTTTTTAAAGCAGCATTGTCAAATTAGGGGGGAGGGGGGGCATCCGAACAGAATTAAATTTTAAGTAATATTTTAGGAAATTCGTGGTTTGGGTTGGGTTTTTCCCCCAAAAAAACGCTTCATCAACACCAACCGTGTTGTGGTGTAATTATTTTCTTAGATTTAGGCCTTACTGGGTGTCAGTTAACCTTTAGTGTGTGATTTTGAAGAGCCGAGGCCTGTAAAGTTTTCTGTTGTGCGTCTACAAAGAGAACTAGATAGATCTAGTTAGATCTATACAAGTGCAAGCTTAAAAGGAGCGGCAACAGGTGCCCTCTATGTGGAGTCAAGCAGACACCTACTGGAATCTGTCGGCGTCGATCTTCAGCCGCTTATATTTTTGCACTTACTACGTCCTCGCAGAGAGACTGAGATACTCGTTAAAAGCTATTTTCTCTAGTCAGTAATCGAATGATTTTTTATAAAATGTAATTCTTATAGATTTAACATTTTGATCTTATCTCCGAATAATATATGTGAGGCAGCATGATGGAATCAATCTCTCGTCCAAATGATCAAAGTGAAGTAACTTGCATTTTTCCACAGGTTTGTGAATTTTTATCAAATTTTTGTTTTTTGGCTCAACACCTGCCATGCCAATTAAAGAACTAATTTCTGTGTGGATTTTTCTGAAAAACGTTGATTAAAAGCACAAAAATGTTTAATTTTCTGTAACCACCGACTCTGAAGCAGCAGCTAAGGAAATAACTAATCTTTGGCTCCAAATTGTTTTAATCAGCTTTTATCTGAAGAAAAAGTTGTCTCAAATGTGGTTTGATGTAATTAATAACTGTTAAATCTCAGCGGCACAATTTTTTTCATCCAAATAAAGACAAGTGAACAAGCTAAAAGATTATAACAATAACTCTAAAGGACCAGTGGCGGTGGGTGGACCAAGATTTGGGTGGGGCTTAGGTTTCTTCCACTTCTTTACCGCCAAAAAGCAAGCAATAAGAACAAAACAGTGATGATTTTTCTATACTCACTGCGAGCCACGGCATTTTGAGAACCATTCAAACGAGAAGAGTCACTTTTGTCTTCCATCTCTATGTTCTTAGTTAAAGTTAAGCTCTTCTAGATGGTGGGGACGAAGCCGTTTCACCTCCAAATTGTTCTAATTAGCTTTTATCTGAAGAAAAAGTTGCCTCAAATGTGGTTTGATGTAATTAATAACTGTTAAATCTCAGCGGCAAAAAACACACAGCACTCCAAATACATACCGTCTATGAGGTGGATTAGATCGTGTTGTTGCGGAAAATAGAACGCGCCTAACAAAGGCCCAATGGACGCATAGGTATCTGTGTCACTGGGGGAAAGTGTGTCGTAAACTTTCACCCCATTGTCAGGGCTGGGAGAGCGTGAGCCCTCTGTGCAGTGTAATTTTGTAAAAGTCTTCTACCTTTTTTCAAGAAGAGTTTCATTAAAGACGGGCGTGGGAACCGGCTTATTCTTTCTGAGCCCTAACGACATTTGATTGGCTGTTAGGTTACTATAGTTGTAAGCGGTGACAACAATGATTGGATAAACGGGCAAGCCGCCAAGCTGATAACTGTGTTCATTGCGTGTGATCATGGCGGTTTCAACTGCTTATTTCGCTATTTAAGCAACTTTCATTAACTCAGGGATAGAGTTGGGGTGGGTAGGGGGTGGGGTTGAGAGGCTCAAGCCCGTAAGCCCTTCACTACCCACCGCCACTGTAAAGGACCAAAACTTGACGAGAGCCTGATTCCACCACGCTGCTTCACATATTGTAAATGTAGAGTAGCGAGTTACCTGTGAAATGATATGGTGACAGAAGAGGGCCATGGCAATACAAAAGTCTCCCGCGGTTTTCCGAAACAGTCAAAGGCAAGGTCACGCAAGGACATGTCATCTCCTACCGAAAAACAAAACATGTATGATAAGTTAGATAAATGCTTCTTTACCCCCCACCCCCCATTCCCTCACCCCCCTCTCTCTCTCTCTCTCCCTCTCTCTCTCGCTCTCTCTCTCTCTCTCTCTCTCTCTCTCTCTCTCTCTCATCTTGACCTTCCTCCACACTGCTCCTCCCCACCTCCCTCCTCAGGTTGCCCTTTCATCTCCAGCCCAATCCCCCTCCACCCCCACAGACAAAAGACATACGCCACACACCTGCCTCAACCAAACAGTTGAGAGCGCCATAAAACACTTACCAAAACAAAAACAATAAACAAAAAACCCCCAAAAAAACAAATAACAAAACAAAGAAAACCCCACCTACCTCTGAAGGCAGAGAAGTAATGAGCCGGAGAGAAGACTTTGGTGAGCGACGGGTCCATCACTTGCAGCCTCAGACACTTCTGGTGGGCCTCAATCTGAACGCTGGGGTTGTCCGGGCCGCTTTGTGTGGGGAGGACAAGATAGAGAGATAGATGGATAGATAAAGAGAGAGAGAGAGAGAGAGAGAGAGAGAGAGAGATAGAGAAAGAGAGAGAGAGAGAGAGAGAGAGAAATAGATGGCTGGATGGATGGATAGATAGAGATATAGATAGATGGATGGATGGGTGGATGGATGGATGGATGGATAGATAGATAGATAGATAGATAGATAGACAGATGGATGGATGGATGGATGGATGGATGGATGGATAGATACAAAAGAGAACAAAAGACTATTTTTTCTAAGGAAGCTAAAGTATTTTAAAGTTGATAAAACATTGATGACCATGTTCTACAATTCAACCATAGAAAGTATGATACATTTTTGTATAACACCGTGGGCCGGGAATACAAGACTACAAGATAAAGAAAAATTAAATCGACTAGTACGGAAAGCATGTAAAATTTTAACATCTACATTCCCCTACTTGGATGAATTGTACATACCAGCTTGCACTAAAAAAAAATAATTCCATCTTTTTAAACAACAAACATCCCTTGTTCCCTCAAATAAAAACATCAGTCAGAAGTAAAACACCTAGGCTTCTGATCTGTAACAAAGAAAGATACAGAAGGTCATTTTTACCATCATCTATCAAAATGCTTCCATCTTAACCATCTTGTAAGTATACTTACGACCTTAGAGCATGCATCAAAACAACATTGAGTGTGTATCTAGATTACGATTATTATTATTTATACTGCTGCTCAGTTATATTATGCATGTGATTGTAAGCCTACGTGTGTGTGCATGTGTGTGCGCGCGTGCGCGCGCGCGCGCGCGTGTGTGTGTGTGTGTGTGTGTGTGTGTGTGTGTGTGTGTGTGTGTGTGTGTGTGTGTGTGTGTGTTTGTATGGTGAGAAAGCACAGTGAACAACCCAAACAGCGGGATGCAGGTGGGGGAAAGGAAAGAAGCTTGTTCTGCCAACGTACTCTCTTAGAAGAGAGGAAGAACAGGAGGGCCGGACGCGCACCACAATCGTGAAGAGAGAGAGGGGGAGGAGAGAGAGAGATAGGAAAGAATAATTACACCAACACACTATCTCCACTATACTAATAGAGAAAA